GTAGACTAATTGAAGGGATTCCTGGAAATCCATGCCTCAAAGATATACAAAAAATTGTTCTGACAAGTACAGCTCACACTTTACGAAGGGCTTTATCTATGTAATTTTTTTTTTTTTTTTTGAAAGAAAGTGTCATGATGCCATTTCTAACCTTAGATCCCTGGGCGGGACCCGGAAAAAATTTGTAAACGCCAGAAATCAAAGGAAATAATAATAATAATAATAATAATAATAATAATAATAATAATGACAACACCCAGACCCGGTTACGGAGATAGGATCTGTAACAATTTTATGGGACTGTACAATGCACACAGGCAGAACAATCAAAGCTAATCACCCTGACATCGTTATTAAGGACCGCAAACAGAAATAATTGCCCCCTTATTGATATGGCTGTCCCTGCAGACTCCAATGTATATTTCAAGAGCTTCAAAAAGCTATCAAATTCCAAGGACCTTCAAATCAAAATCTCAAAATTGTGGCATATGGGGACATTTGTAGTTGAAGCCCTCGGATTGATTGGAAAATACTCTAATAGACTCATTGAAGAGATTCCTGATAGCCAATGCCTTAAAGAGGGGTTTATCGTTGTAAAATACGTGTGTTTTTTTTTTTTAATTGCTCAGTGGAAAATATCTTGATGCCATTCCTGACCTTAGGTCTCTAGGCGGGACATGGAAAGAAATGAGTACAGACCAGAAATCAAAGAAAATATAATAATAATAATAATAATAATAATAATAATAATAATAATAATAATAAGGAACCCAACAACACATTAAAAAATCCGTGGAAATCCCAGCTTAAGGGAAATGCAAAAAATGTTTTGATAAGTACAGCCCACACACTAAGAAGAATTTTGTCCATGTAATGCTATTGATGTTATGGAAGCTGAAAAAACAAATCATGAAATGTAGCCATAACAGCAAACCACTATCTGCCTTATGATCTTTCAGCAGAATTGGTAGAGTTGGTAGAATTGGTAGGTAGTGTGACTATAGCAGAAATCGAAATATAATAATGATGATAATAATAAAATTAATAACTGAATCCAGAGTTGGCATACACAAATAATCTTGATACAGACACACATACAGATACTTTGCATTTCGTCTCGCTACAATCTTCCGGAATTTGACACACAGACAGACACTACGAGACAGACACAAAATGCCCACTAGAATTCAGGAAAAAAAAATGTATGACCATTTTTGCCTTTGCTTTGCAAATTTAGCCCAAAGCCCCAACCAGAGACTTCAAGAGACAACAATTTTTTTTTTGTTTTGCCTCAGTTGAGCAAATCGATTATGTTCCATGCAATCAGAGAAAAAACATGTAATTGTGGTCACTGCGTACAGAGGAATCTATACAAGGTGTGAGAGGTAACCATAAATTATTTTTTGCAATAGACATATTTTAGGTTTGGTTTAGGATGTTGCTTCTTTTGATATAATTCCCAAAGTCCAAATTATTATTAATTTATTACCAGGACAGTCGTTTTTCATTACAAGCGCAAGTAACATTTGTAGAAATTTTTTGTAGATTTAGATATTTTTATATTTGAAAAAAATGTTTAAATATAAGTTGAAGACAAAAATTTAGCTGAAATATTGTTTAATATTGTCAAGTATTGTTTTTTTTTCTTTTATTTATCTTTTCTTAAATCGCGATCTTCTCTTAACAATAATTATTATTGTTTTATTTCCTTTTCTTTCAGGTGTATACACATTAGTTTCCGGGTCCCAACTAGAGACCGAAGCTCAGAAATGGCATCATGACATTTTCCACAGAGCAGTTTTGAAAAAAAAATGCACATTTTTTACATAGATAAAGCCCTTCGTAAGGTATGGGCAGTACTTGTGATAACAATTTTGTGTATTACTTGAAGGCATGAACCACCAGGGATTCCTTCAGTGAGTCTATTGGACTCTTTACAATCAATCCGAGTATTCCAACTACAACTGGAAAAGAAAAAAGAAAAACAAAAAATTTGTTCTCACGAGTACAGCCCACACCTTATGAAGGACATGATCTATGTAATATATGTGTGGTGTTTTTACTTGCTCAGTGGGAAATAATAATAATAATAATAATAATAATAATAATAGACATTGCACACAAAAAATTGCCTCCTTATTAATATGGCAGTCTCTGCAGACTCCAATGTATCTTTCAAGATCTTCAAAAAGCTATCAAAATACAAGGACTTTGAAATCGAAATCTCAAAGATATAGTACATGGGAACATCAACAATCCCCATTGTAGTTGGAGCCCTCAGATTGGTTGGAAAAGATTCCAGTGTACACACTGAAGGGATTCCTGGAAGCCCATGCCTTAAAGAAATACAAAAAAATGTTCATAGGAGTACAGCGCACACCTTACGAAGGGCTTTTGTCTATGTTTTGTGTGTGTGTTTTTTCGTTTTTCTTTTTCTAGTGGAAAATATCATGATGACATTTCTAACTACAACATTAGATTGGTGGAAAGGCCTCTCCATTTTACGGTTGGAATAGCTAGATGTAACCGTAAGTTCTATGCTAATTGTTTCTTCTATCGCACTTCTCGTCTATAAAAGGCTCTTTCGTCATCTTGCTCTCCAGTCAACTTTCATCTTCAAAAATTTAAATGCAACTTAAATCGTTATCTTTTATCGTCTTAATTCATGTTCTTTTATTGTTCTCTGTTATGGTCCAGGTTAGGACCAAGGAAGAACAACACGAACACAAGAGTAGAAATAACGAAGGTATATTACACGAAATAATAATACAAGATGTGGAAGGTGTTAGTATGACTGTCAGTCTGGTTTGGAGTGAACTACTATCGGCTCGACTGGATTCGGTATCTAGCCCCCCCCCCACCACCACCACGAGGGTTGCATGTGGCACAAGGCCGAGTTTAACGTGGGTTTCCGGAGCCCTAGGCTCGACCAAAAAATGCCCGTAGAACCCATCTAAACGGGATCGGGTTGGTCAACCTCCCTGAACGAGCCTCTGCTCTTCGGCGGAGGCTCGTCCGGGTTCCTCGCTGTTCAGAGGCAGAGTGTTCGACCCTCAAGCCGAGAAACTCAGCTTGATTCGTCCCTCTCTCTTGAGAGGCGTAGTATACATAGTGTTAGGAAGAGTTCATTCTGTAGTTATAGGTAAGGGTCCATGACATTCTCCCTCCTTAATAATGTGACTCTTTTTCATATATTTTCTCACACTCAGTAATCTTTTGTGTTTTAGTGGCTTTATCGCCTTCCTTGGGGTGAAACGATAATACAAACGAATTAAAATCTAATATCATCTGTTGATAGTATCAAAAATGATTAAATGCGTTAATTTCTGTTTTAATTTACAACATTAGTGAGAGATATATTTATCCTCTGCCATCTTTCTGTTAAGCTGAATTTTGATTGTCGATTGCCTTTTGCATGTTGTTATACGTTACGACACCAGTAGCTTCACATTTAGTAATTTTTAATGCTACTAGGTTGGTCAAAATGTATTGACTAACTCCGGAAGTGAAAAGAAAACAACAAATTTTGATCCCAGTCTGGTGGACTTTCCAAAGAGTACTGCATTTCGAGCTTGTTCTACACAGTCGAGCCGACAACGCTAAACTGTATTCCCAGCAGCTAGACAACGTATTAGACAAACTAAAGATAGAGTATCCTGCTTTTATTATTCGAGGACTGTCTTTCTTTCAGCAAGACAATTCGAAGCCACACACTGCCAGGTTGATTAAGGAGACGTTCAAACAGATGGACGATGTTGAGATACTGCCATATCCAGTCTCAATGCTGTTCCGAGTGACTATGGCCTATTCCACTCAATGGCACTTTTCTTCTGCGATCAGCGATTCAACACTTTTGATGAAGTAAAGGAAGCTTGTTTACAGTTTATTTTTATTCAAAGCCAGCGGACTGGTATCTGGGACAGATTAGGATGCTGGTTGATCCCTGGCAGAAGATCATCGAGAATAATGGACTTTATTTTGAAGAATAAATGTTGGTGGTTTCTTTCCGCTTCATAAGTAACTCAAGACTTTCTGGCCAACCTAATCATGTGTATCCTGTAAGAAAATTCTCCGAATGAGCCTTGACCTTCAACATAATGATTAGTAGTGTCGGGTGACATTTAAGATGGAGAAAGCGAAAGATATGGTATGTTTGAAAGTGAATTAAAGAAAGGAGATGAAGAAATAAAAAGATGCCGATAAAAAAAAAAGACTAGGAAATTGCTACTAAATAATGTAATTTATCAAAGATGACACTTCGAAAATAAATTCATCACCGATCTGAAAAATGTCGACCTCATATGTTCCACCATTACCGTTTTAGAAATAACAAAATATTCCCTTCAATCAGATAAAACACTTCTTTGTTCGATTGTCAGTTGCTTGTAATTTTTATTAAAAAAAATGACCACCTAAAATGGAAGCCTGATTTCCGTACATTTGGTAAATTCTTCTTTTCTCAGAAATCCGTTAATTGCGTGTAAGAGTCACCATTCACAATCTGCATTGATAGATCTTAAAGCTATTACGCAAAACATTTCGTCTTCAGATGGTTGTCATGTTATTGACCTACACGACATCTTTCGTTTAGCGGTTAGAAACGTTCTGGCTGAAATAAGATTGTCGCTGTGGCATTAGGTTTGGGAATAGGATAAGAAATTGCATAAATTTTATTTGGTTTAATCTGTCATTCGGTTAGAACTTTTATCTTTCCTGAGATGTCATGCAACGTTGATTTCATTGTGTTCACGTCCTTTTTTTTGTTTCTATTTCGTTGCGTCCGTAAAAGGATAAGAAAGAAAATGAAGAAGAATTGGTGAGAGACGAAGTGGAAGAGAATCGGGTCGTGAGGTCAGAGAAAGCGGAAGTGACGGTCACGAATAGTGTGATAGGGAACGGGAGAAATGATTTCATGAAAAATAGGGTTGAGGAATTGAAAAATAATATGGAAGAGAATATAGAGGAAGGGGGAGGAGAAGAAAATGTAGAAAAAAAGAGAATTAAAGAATAAGAAGAAGAATGAGTAGGAGGAGGAGGAGGACAACAACAACAACAACAGCCAAAAGAACAACAACAAACAGAAGGATTAAGTTATGAGGAATTGAGGAGAGACGAAAGCGGCCGACGCTAATGGAGAAGGCGGAAGTGGCGATTAGGAAGAGGATGATGTCCAACGAGAGAAAGGATCTAATGAAAGGTGAAGAATTGAAAAATAATATGGAAGAGAATAGAAATTAAGAGGAAGAAGGAGAAGAAAAAGTGGAAGTTAAGCAGAGGAATAAAACGTAGAAGAAGAAGAAGAAGAAGGAGAAGGAGAAGGAGGAGGAGGAGGCGGAGGGGAGAAGGAGGAGGAGGAGAAATAATAGGGGAGGAGAAATATGAGAATAGGAGGAGGAGGGGAGAAAATAATATAGAAGAAGAAGAAGTCTGAAGAAGAAGAAGAAGAAACATTTGAACAACAACAACAACAAAAAAAAAAAGGGGGAGGAGGATTCATCTCTTTCAAGGATTTATAGGAGGAGCAGCAGCAGCAGAATTGAAGAAGAAGAAGAAGAAGGAGGAGGAGGAGGAAGAGGGGAAGGAGGAGGAGGAGAAAAAAGAAGAATCTATAGGAGAAAGATGAAAATAGGAGGAGGAGGGGGGGAAAAGAAGAAGAAGAAGAAGAATATCATCTTTGGTAGTTTTATTTTGTGATATCCACAAATGGTATTTTCAGAAGAAGAAGAATAATAATAAGAAGAAGAACAACAACAACAAAAAATGAGAGGGGAGGAGGAAAAGAAGGAGGAAAAAAAAGAAGGAGGAGGAATGCAGCAATTTCAATTGTAAGATTATATTTCGGATAGTTTTATATGATACCGGTAAATTGTATTTTGAGAAGAAGAAGCCGAAGAAGAAAAAAGTGAAGAAGAAGAAGGAGGATGAGGAGAAGGAGGGAGAAGAAGAAGGAGAAGAAGAAGAAGAAGAAGAAGAAGAAGAAGAAGAAGATTATAAGGATTTGGGGAGAGTGTAAGGAGGAAGGTGGTGATGAAGAAGGCGAACGTGACTCGTCGGATGAGTATAATGTAGAATGAGGATTTCGTGAGTAAGATGATTGAAAAAAGAGACAGGGAGAGGAAGAGTCTCATGGCAAATAGGGTCGGGGAGGTAATGAAAAAAAAAGCCAGTAATGAAGAGGAAAGGAGATGAACTGATAGATGGGAAGAAAAGGGTGGGAAAATAGGGAATTAAGTAAAAAGAAAAACGATGGGTAGAATTGGGTAGAGACGAGGGGGGGCGGTGAAGGAGGAAGACAGTAAAAAAAGTGACCAAGAAAGCGGAAGTGACGAAGCGGAAGAAGATAGTGGTGGGTGCGGAGAATGGAAGTTGATGGAAATCTATGAAACACGATGCGGAAAAATAGAGAAGAAACTGAAAATAATGACGGGAAAAGAGTTACGAAAAGGAAAAAGTGAGAGAAAGGATGGAATCTATGCAATGGAAATTCCTAAAGTGGAAGAAAATGCAGATAAATATATAGAATTAAGCAAGAGCCACAACAAGACAACTGTGTTATAGAAAAGAAAGAAAGAAAGAAAGAAAGAAAAAAATAAAAAAGAAAGAAAGAAAGAAAGAAAGAAAGAAAGAAAGAAAGAAAATGAAAACTGAAGGAAGGAGAGAAAGAAAAGGTAAGAAACGTAACGGAGAGGAAAATAAACTCGTTTAACCCAGATTAACAACAT